GAGAGAGAGAGAGAGAGAGAGAGAGAGAGAGAGAGAGAGAGAGAGAGCATCAATCTCTGTGAATAAACTGCACCCCAATCTCAGCTGGGTGTAACGTGTGAACAAGAGGCTGAGCTCAGAGCAGAGGAGCCAGGAAGAGGAGGGTGAAAGAGTCCAGCAGGACATAGATCAGGTTCCTTCTGCAGCCCTCCTCCACATTCAGCCTCAGCAGACATGCTGCCCAACTTTGCCGGCAACTGGAAGATGAGGAGCAGTGAGAATTTCGACGAACTTCTCAAAGTCCTGGGTAAGTCCCCTCCTGTTTCATCTGTGCAAATAAAATGTAAAAATTTTAACATTTAAAAATTGTTCTCAGAAGCTCCTGGGGAAAAAAGGGGGGGCAGAGATGCTTCTGAGAGGGGGGGGGGATATTTCAGCTTTCCAGCAGAGCCAAAAAAATGCTACATTTCATCCAAAACAGACATGGTATTGTCTCATGAAGAAAGGAGAGGAGGGGGCACAACATTATTCATGTTAAGCATTTAAGTAGGGCATGCATTAATGCCATGGGAAGTCTGTGGATCACTGTGTTGTTCTCATGTCTCCTGTCCTTTTTCACTCCTTGTCACCCCTCTTAGTCCACACTGATGATGGTGATGGTTTAGAACTGGGTCACACAATTGTGTTCCGGCATTTTGTCACGCCAGGACAGCCTAAATAGACAGGAGCGCAGCTAAAAGGCTCGCTGTCTTTAGAATAACGCAGAATTTTTTAGTGAGAGGGGGTCCCTCTGAGAAGCTGCCCACACCAAACTGGATCACAATCTGAACTTTTCAGGTGCAAATAGTTCTACTGGCAGTGCACAGTGGTCACATTACCAAAGAAAATTAGAATGGTCCCAATGCAGCAACTGTGCAAAACTGCAGCCGAACATGTAATAATCTGAGCTAAGTCAAAATGCAGAGAAGTGTATCACAAACTGATCCCACACAGCGTTCTATATTGTTTGTTCTGTATGTTTCACACTGAAAACAGGCGATTTCTGATTCCTAATGTTGGACTCTGATAGTCTACCGTCTCTAAAACAAAACACATCTTTTTATATGCTTGCACAATTCTTTATATTATAGTTTTTATTATCAGTGTGAATGCCTTGACAGCATTCACACTACTGTTTAAATGTTTCTCTGTATTCTTTATTATTCCAGTTTCTTCCATACATTTTTTGGACTGTTTCTCCTTCAACAACTTTTGTGCTTCTTAAACCATTCATATATTAAAATGTTCATCTCACTCAGGACATTCGGGCTGTGATTTTTTGTTTCTTAAAATTTTATAGTTTTTTAGCTATTTCAAGTTTTACAATTTTGGTGATGATGTCCTCAGTGACATCATCAGTCACATCAACAGTCACATCAGTGACATCATCAATTTGTTTCTTAGCTGTTCTTAAGCTAAAGTTATCAGCAAGAGGCATTCACACTGGCATTTTCGCCGGAAATGCAAATTCTCTAGTTAGTATTCACATCATGGCAAGTGGGTGTTAATTTTTGTTTTGTGTGCACTGTCTATAGTTTGTGAAGTAACTAGTGTATGAACCTCTGTACGGATACTGCTGTGACACCTGAATTTCCCCTCTGCAGGACAATAAAGGCTGTTTCTATTCTATTCTATTCTATTCTATTCTATTCTATTCTATTCTATTCT